CCTGTGATAGACTGGTTACCTGTCCAGGTGAACCTGCCTTCACCCTGAGTCAGCTGGGATAGACTCCAGCCCCCCATGACCCTAGAGAGGATTAAGCGGTGTATAGATAATGGATGGATGGATGTTAATATCTACATAATGTGTGTCAAAGTGACATTATTTTTGTTTTAATAGCCATACCTGCACTTTTGTGCATTATTGCAAACATCTGATCGCAGTCACGTCGCTGCGATGCCGTGCAGACACACACTGTAGGTGTCAGAACTGCTGATCTCCTGAGATTTTTATGCATGGCAGTCGCTAGATTTTGCAGCAAACGGTGAGTAATACAGACACATCCAGTGAGTGGGAGTTGCGTGGAAAACACCTTTATAACGACAGAGGTTGGAGAACAGTCAGATTGGTGCAAACACTCTTGATTTCTGCTGCCACAGACTGATACCAGGGTCAGATTTGGGTGTAAACATGAATCCGTGCATCCATCCTGCCTTGTGTCAACAGTTCAGGCTGCTGCTGCTGGTTTAATGGTGTGGGAGAGTATTTTCTTTACACACATTAGGCCCCTTTAATACCGATCGTGCATCATTAAAACGTTTACTCGGGCATCATTGCCGACCCTTTGCATCCCAGAAACGAGCTAATGTTGAATGGATTCACAGCATGAACGTGCAGCTGACAAATCTACTGCGACTGTGTGATGCTGTCATGTCGACATGGAGCAGGAACATCGTTTTTAGCATCTTGTTGAATCCATGTCACCCTGATCTCAGGTTGCACTGGGCACAAAGAGCTGCCTGCCCAGGATTAGAAAAGTCTACAAACAAAGTGATAATATATCAGATTACATGTATAAATGCATGAATGATAAAGCAATATATAAGTCTGATGCATTCTCATCACATCTATCTGTTAAATAAACAACCAGAGGAGACACGGACATATTTATAAAACTTTTATTCATATTTTAAATTGAAGGCTAACTGAAATGTGTCCGATTCATACCATGTTCTGTGACAACAACGATAAACCATTGTCTTCTGTTTGTAACAGAGAAGAAAAAAAACAACAACAAAAAACAACATAACAAACCCAGCAACACGTAGACCATCCAATATAAATTAAATAAACTGTCTTAATACACAAATAAGCAGTTATTATCATTGAGAATAAGTAGGCCTCTATATAAGTGTGTGAGCCATGCTGTGACGGATAACAGACTGGAGTTAAACCTCCACGTTTTTAGCACCACGTTCATCTTTTTTTTATTTTTTTTTCCTCTCCATTGCACCTCAGTGGAAGAGTTATGAGCCTGGTGCTAAATCTGAATGAAGGGAAACCCAACATTTTTTGTACAAGAGCAGATCAGGGTTCCTACATTTTATCTCACACCTGGTCCAGCTTTCACTCCAGAGCTGAGGATTATTTGTGTGCGTTTGTCTGGACACAATCACAGCATTTTATTATACGTTCTTCTTTTTTTTGTGTGTCAAACATCTGGACCAGCTGCATGTAGGAATCCTGAGCAGAACAAACGGATCTATTGTACAAGTCCCACATTTGACATGCTTGCAGGATGAAACTCAAAGACAGGTGGAAGACTTCTACAATAGTCACTGCGGGTGAACGAGCATCGGAGCGCCGTCGTGTGCTGTAACATACAGAGGCTTATTAAATACGCACAAACAACATACTGCAACCAAAAGAGAGTGTTTTCATAGATTTGTTTTTTCTTCAACATTGTCAGAGGAAAAGGCGCCACGCAGCGCTGATTCAAGGAGCAGAGCGAGCAGAAAAGAACACAACAAAGCAGAATGAGCATAAACACAATAAGGGGAACGTTTCTCTTTACAGTTTGCCTTTTTCCAGTCGACTAGTGTGACGCTGCTTCAGTCTTTCCATTGTTCTTAATTAAATATTTTTCTTCTTTAATGCCAGTATGTATTATACTTGCCTACAAGTGATTGACAGAAACTGGAAAAAGGCATCCAAAAAGTAAAGTTTACCCCCAAAAATCTGAAAAGTTCAAGTCAGGTGTAACCTGTTTAGGATGATTCATTCTTTGGAAATGTCTATAACGATGCTGTGGACATAAAACTGGGCTGCAGTGTGTTTTAGAGGAGCAGTTTTTCTTTTTTTTTTATTACAGGAAGCCAGGCAGTTTAATTAGAGCCGCTAATGTTGCGTTCCAATTAATGTCAGAAGGAAATCAGTAATGCCAGCTGTTGGAAGTAATAGTTTCATAATGCCTTCACCTTGAACACTGTTTGCTATCCAACAATTAGCAGCTATCATTAGCACTCTGATGACATTATGCATTTAAGGACATGAAGTGCTATAAATGCAATTTCAGTGGAGTGAATTCAGGTTTGTTATAAATGTCTGACTCTCCAACATATTTGAAACGCAACACAAGTGACCAGAGTGACGAGTTACTGAATATTCTAGTTGTGTGATTATGGGAGACTATTACAGCAGGAAAAGGAAAACTGGTGAAAATTATAACAAAAAAAAGCATTGATGTTTGGTTTAAATGGGTCTGATTTGGAAAGTCAGACTCATTTAAACCTGACTTTCTAAGTCAGGCTCATTTAAACCTAACATGAGTGTAAAGTAGTCTGACATAGAAAGTCTTCCTTCTTAGGCTCTAAGGCGATGTTGGGCTTATTTGTATAAAATGGCAGATGTTCACTTGTCCACTTGTCCAGATTATTTATAAGAACATTTAGCGTATAAATCAGTAATAATTGTACGTCCTCACACTTATTTTTTTCCCCTTTTCCTGCTGTGAGTGGGCTTCCACATGTCATGGCTGTGTGATTCTAATATTGTGCGCTGTCCAAGGTGGTTATGCGTCAAAAGGCAACAGTAATTGAGTTTTAAGAGTAGATCTCCGTTCACGCTGGACACCAGAAGGCACACATGTAGACGCTGGGCCAGGCAAGGAGACGCAATGATTAGTCGATAAACTGGGACTTGGTGTTTAAAAAGAAGTATACTTGAACTTGTAAGTGCATGAAAAAAAATGTGCTCTAAAGTTTTTTTTCATGAAGAGAGGGACTGAATGAGTGTAAAGTGGCGTTTCGCACAAATTTAGCAAGCTTAAACATAAGCTCAGGTTATGTAAAAAATAAAATAAAATCCCCGGACAAATCATTTTGCTCTTCAGACAGCTGCACACTAACAAGCATACTCTAAACTGGAAAAGGGCACTTAAAAGCAGAAGTACATTTTCTTGTATTTACACGTCCTCGCCAGTGATCTGCAGTCTTTGTGTGTTAGGTAGTTTTACACTCTCAAAGTTGGTTTAACAAATAAAAGGAAAAGAAAAAAACAACAATAACAACAACAACAAAAAACAAAATGGTTTTCTTGTGATCGATGGATTGAAGTGAAATCACCTTTTTTTTTAACTTCTCAAGTGAATAAACAACAACAACAATAACAACAACAACGATAAAAAAACTTACATTAAGCACACTACGTTAAAATATGACTAATATTATCAAAAAGGCAAATAGTAGGTGTATTGCAACGATCTTTGCGGCATCACTATCAAAAACATCTATCTTCATCATCATCATCATCATCTTCAATCTCATCACCATCATCCAATCATCATCATCATCATCATCATCGTCATCATCTGAGACGGCGTGGCCCGGGATGATTGACAGCCCAAACTCACATTTCGCCTGTCTCAGCGCAGGCAGGCACACTTGTACGACATAGCAACAATAATAAACAGCAAGACGTTTCCGAGGAGACCGAAACGAAAAGACGGCCGACCAATGGCAGCGAGGGTCGGGGGTCTGGGAAAAAAAAAAAAAGGAGCTCTGTCATTGGACGGCAGGCATCTCTAGGTAACAGGAGGAGCTCAGGCAGGAAGAGGGAGGAGGAGGAACTCTGGAGGTGATCCAGGTGTGTTCATAAATGTTTGTGCTATCTTGTGTGGTCCACAATAAGAAGAAGAAGAAGAAGAAAAAAATGAGCTGGGTGAATTAAAGTGTGTGTGCAAGGTCTGGTTCTTAGGTGAGTTTGTTTAGTCTGCTCTGTGTGTGCGTTCGTGTGTGTTTAGTTTTTGTCTAGACAGCTGGAGGTCTTTCCCAGGCCAAGTCGGTGTACATTAACTGCACACACACACACACACACACACACAGTCACGGCTCTGGGAAAAAAAAAAAAAAAAGTTGTCGTCCGCTAGCTGCAATGCTAACGTGCTAACACTCACGCGGCCTTCACGGCGGCTTAAAGCCAAGGCAAGCGTGTGATCCCTTCAAACAGGTGCAGATTATCGCCGGCGTGGATGCGTTTTACACGTGACCGGTTTCATATGTGGATTTTATGCGACTCAAATTGAACTCTAACGCAGAAAAAAAATGTTAAAAAAAAGGAATGGGATGTGAAACCACTGGTGAACACCTGTTAACGCCGCTGCATGTAAACACACCAGTGTGCATGTGTAGATTGAATTAAAAGGAAAAAAAAAACACATGTAAAGTGATTTTGCCTGTGTGTGAATGTATGATTTGAGTTTTTTCCTCCTCGTCCTCTTGTCTTAGTTTGTATCGTCAGCCAGCGCCAGGTTTCCCTGAAGTCACAGATTGATCCTACACTGTTTCCTTCCTCATGAATTATGCTGTAGGTACATTATTTTAAATAATTATCATTTGTCTCTACTATAATACCCTCATCAGAACCGACCCAGCCTTCTCATACCCGCTGCAAACCCTCCAACGCAGGAGACCGAACCGTTTTAAACCAGCCCGGTCCAAACACAAGCGACACATCGGTGGAGGGGGAAAAAAAAGACATAAATAAATTAGAGAAACTTGCATTAGGACCAGGCTCATAATCTCATTACAAGGTGAAAAGGTGATTCAGACTTTGATTGATCCAACCATCGTTCCTTTAGCTGCTTTGGGTCAAGAGATTAAATTCTTTAGATCATGATTTTTCTTTTCTTCTTTAAGTGCTTGTCATTAAATACAGTGCAGCACAGGGACAAAGGAGAAAGAGACGATAAACAAGAGGGAGGGAAGGCGAATCCAAGTGAAATGATTTGTGATTATTTGTCAATATATATTTTTTTGTCTTTCTTTGCGTCACAAGAGTCGAAGGTTTCAGGTTTTGTCATTACAGTTAAATGATGTTTTAAAGGGACTGGTAGAGACGCTTCTAAACATCTGGATGAAAAAAATATTCCATCTGCTGCATTATAGAAAAGAGTTTTCCATTTACCAAATTAAGAGAAATGAATGAATTATTTTGCATCCCACAAACTTCAACATTGACGGAAATAATGTATTTCTGGTCACCATCATTGAAAAACCAGTTGAAAATCATTTACAGCAGATTTAACATTTTTTTATCACAGTTGCTTGAAGAGTGTTTCAGGATTTAGAAAGTAGGTGATTTTAAAGGATATATTTCCAAAGAACGGATGCTTATCTCTGCGATTTAAAAGTAATGACAATACGAGACAAACTGGTCTTTACATCCACCTGCGATTCACTGGAGACGTAAAGCAAAGACAATAGATTCACCGTATCAGGTAATTAAACAACTTTCTTTTTGGCCTTTTTGACTCTCTCCTCTCCTCGGGCTGCAAATTAAACTAACTCAGCTTCTGGAGTTTTGGCTGCAGTTCGGTTCGGTCCCTGTGGAGGGCGCTGTTGCATAAAAACTGGACACTAGAGGGCGCCGGCGTCACCTGGACCGACCTGTGGTGCCGCCACGTCGGTATAAATTGACGCACACCGAGTTAAAACAGCGTCGGTCGCAGTGGACGCCTCACGTACGAGCAGCAACTTTAAACAAACAAAAAGCTACGAATGTCCGTGTGTTGTGATCTACTACCTTAGCGAGCTAAAACTGTACTACTTCTAGATTTCTACACTCATAAAGAGATGACACAAGGCAAGTTGCTATTAACACTCGTGTCACTTTTCAACACTTCAATGTGCCTGTTTTCAACAACCTGTCTTGTGCTGCATTTAACACACAAAGAGTTTTGTTCCAAAATTTAGACATAATCCACAGAAGAAGAGGCTTAAAATATATTTTTTAAAAAACAGACCAAACAGTCACGTGGTCTTATATCAATATCAAATTTTTTTTGGTGCCGAAAACTAAAGTTAGCATCAAATTTGGTCAAATTCATGAACATTTTTACTTATTATTTGACAAAACACTTCCTAATTCAAATAAGGTTTCTTCTTCCAGTTGTAGACTTTATTTTATTTCGCTAAAGTTCTTGCACAAGTTGTTGTAAATTGAAAATGACAGCAGTAAGTCAAGGTATTGAGAATTAGACATATCAGCAACTTCTGGTAATTAAGTTGTATATGTCTGAAGGTTTGGTGCAAAACTCTTTGCATCTTTTAAAAGTGCAGCTCTAAAGGTTGGAGAATTGAATCTAAAAAAATAAAGGGTTCTACCGTAGTTTTTTTTTAGGTGTTTTAGGTGAGCTGAGGCCGGCGCTGGCTGACAGAAGATTGTTGTCTCCTTCCTGGTGCAGTAAAGTGCTCAGAGATGCCTGCAAGAGAGGAAAGCTTACCAGAGCGGGCTGTGAGTTCAACGAAAGGCAGGAGAGACGCAGCTTTAAAAGAAACCGGAGGTGTTTGACTGAAGATGTGATGCGGCCACAGCAGCGCACAGTCGGCGTATCGAACATTTAGGGCCCGTCGGGCGACTGGCTTTCTTCCTGAGTTAATGCACTTCAAGGGGGGACGTTAGGTGTCACGAGTTCTGCGTCGCTCTCCCGCTTCTCACCCGGCGAACAAAAACTCTTGACATTCAAATAAAATAACACACAGCAGGATTAAAAGCTAATTCTACTCTACTCTAGCTCTACTGTTAATTACACACTGTCTTGATTAGTTCAGACGTTTTGTTTAAAAGTCTGATTAACGTGAGCAAACTCTTCTGTGCTTGACTTGTTTGGTCGAGGTAGTGACAGCCAGCTTTGGGATTGGCTAACGATTCGGCCAATAGGGTGAGACCGAGGGAGCGACGAGCAGAGTTTCTGATTGGGCCCGCAGGCTGGATGCTGACTTCTGGTTGGCTCGCGGGACTCAGACATTTGCATAAACCGGAGATTTTTATTTTAGTTTTTTCTTTTGATCAATGGTACAGTATCGGTTGGTCTGAGTCCGCTGGACCAACGTCAGCATCTCCCCGTAAATTGTTCACGATAGCAGCCGCTGTGCACTGTTCTGACCCGACTCTCTGGTAAGTCACCTCTCTCTCTCTCGTTTTAATACCTCCATGGACAGAGCTCCTTCACAATAAAAGTCTCTCGCGAACGTTCCATCTGCGCATACTAAAAAATAGTGCAATTCTTTTCAGCAATTATATAAATAACTCTAAATTCGTGCTTTTCGCTCTCGGTTCGCACACATGTCTGTATATATACTCCGTCTGTAACATATATATATACACGTCGACATGTACGCGGCAAAATGTTCAACGTGAAACTTGGCACCCCAACAGATTACTGATGTCTGTTTTTCTTTTTCTAGAACTACACAACAAATAAAAAAAAAACAACATCTCATAAGAATCCATCAAGTTTAGAAAAATACCCCTACTTTCTCTAGTTTCTCTCTCGTCATCGATCAAGTCGCGGATTATTTCTTTCCCCCACGTGGTGAACAGTCTTGAACTTTGTGCAAACCTTCTTTAGAAAAACTTAAAAACTAAAAAAAAGAGTGGGTTCAGCGACAGCTTCCTGCATCGGTTGGTCGACGTAAGGCAGAACTTTTAGCTGGAGGACGATCAGCACCGTGCTACAACTGGTGGGCTAAATCGAGGCTAACTAAAACCTAAACTCTCTCCTAAGGTGCTAGCGTGTCCCCGTGATGCAGCTAAAGCCTGGTGCAGGAGTCGCGTTGGACTGTGAAGTGGAGAATGTGGACTACAAGGACTCAAAGCAGCGAGCGGTAGGGGGGCGGTGGATTATCACTGGAAAACCAAAAAATAAATCCTAAAACCTGGAAGAACCAAGAAGATTGCAACATTTTCGCCTGGATAGGAATTTTCTGGTAAGTGTGAAAAAAGAGACACAAAAGCAAACAAACGAAGAAAAATAGAAACAAACGGAACAAGTAAATATATATATATGATGGATGAAGACTACGTGGATCAGTCTGATAGAGGAGGGACGAGGAGAGGAAGGAGGCTTTGGGTTTCCCACCCCTCTCCACCTTCTGCCAACTCTTTTCTGACATCATCGTGGGTTCATCTGAAGTGCTCCTCGGACAGAAAGTAGGAACGCGTGGAACGTACCAGATGTTCTCCTGTGACTGTGCTCTGCAGGAGTGATGTGGTTTCCAGGTGCTGGTGAGAAGCCGGCGTGTCCTGCCGCCTTCTCTACGTGTGAAGCAGGGAAACTGTGAAAACCGACTACGACTAACCAGCTCTTTTTTTTAACCAATCACGTGATTTTTTTTTCTTCCCTCATCGTTCGCTGATCATTTCCCCAAAATGGCGAGCAGACGTAATCCCGGTTGTTCTCGCTGGCTAGGAAAGAGGAAGCTGTCACACCTGCTGGGGCTTCTGGGATTTCTCCTTTGTATTCCTCGTGTTCCTGTTGTCCACGCTTCCTTGCTGTTGAGGCGGAGGCCGGAGCAGACCGTGTATGAGCGAGGACGGTTGCGGCACAGTTCGATGGTTGTGGTTGGAGTTCAGGGACGCGGGGTGGTAGTAGTGCCCGATGACCTCGCTGTAGGTCGGGGGAGCTCCTTCTACCCGAGAGCCGTGCTTGTGGTGCCGGGACAAGGCCTCCTGGGCTTCTAGCACACTGATGCCCGAGTGGACGCTGGGAGGAGGCGCCTGCAGACTGAGAGCAAATAGAATTAATTAGAACGGCGGGAACAAAAAAACAAGGACAAGTGTAGGAGCAGAGGAATGAGGAACAGGCAGACTGTGGGGATTACAAGAGAAAGCAGCCTACATTTAAAAATCTGTTTCCAGCACAGACGTTTTCCAGGAGACGTGTTAAGTTTTAAATTTAGTCCCTGCTCTTGAAGAAGTTCTGCCTTCTGGGTGGAAACTGCTGAGGTGCTGATTGAAGGTTCTGATTTTCGATCATAGTGCAAAAAGCAGACACACGTTTTTTTAACTTTAACCAGAAAATTATACAGATTACTTCACAATGAGTGTAAAGAGAAAGACAATAAACGAGATAATGAGAGTTAACGAGTGGCAGGTTTAACCCTCTGAACCCACTAGCAGGCTTTAAAAGGAATTTTATCTTTAAAAAATCCCCAAAATTATATCATTCATCAAAGCAAGAAGCTAAAAAAAACAGAAACAATCATCACATGTTCTGCTTTCCGGCAGCCCCTGAAATAATCATGCATCATGTGTGCTTCCATCATATGAATTAACTAAATCTAAGCCTAAAATCGCTATATTCAAAATAACTCATTTGCTCTGACGAGTTTCTGTACAAAAACAAAAACTCTGCGCTCCTCCCTACAATCTAAAAACCTTTTGTGACTCAGCTGTGACCAACAGTCACTTGAGACCTTTAACCTAAACTAGGTTGAGCTGCAGGCTGTGTTTAGGAGAGGTGTATGAACACAGATGTAGTGAAACATCTGTAATATGTAGCGCCACCATTGGTAGCGATACTGCACAGAAGACATTCTCAGTTCTCTGGTCTTCTTCATGTTGTTTCCATCGAGGTGCAGGACTTTATATTGCAGTAAAAAATGAGCAAGTATGACTGTGACAGGAGCAAAACATTTTTAAAAAGGGTTAGAGAGGGTTAATGCAGACGGGTACAAAAGCAGAACTAAATAACCATTGAGCTCGTCGTCTTCTGTCGAGGGAGGCTATCCAAAGTTTTCTGTTTCTTTTTCCACTGCAGCATTTCTCTTTTATTATTCAGAGCATCCATTTAAAAAAAAAAAACTACCTGAGTCACAGTCAGTACAAAGAGCAACACGGTGACTCAAACACAGACTGGACGGCGAAAACTTTTATTTCCCTGAACGGTTTGGTCCAAAGGAGAAAGCCCCACCTAACTGAAACTGTGGGGACATTTAAAGGTGGTGTCAGGTTTAACTTGGCAGCTGGTTGGACTTGTTTGCAAACTAGAAACACGTATAATTAACATTTCTGCTGCTCATGGCGTGGAATCAGTCAATACGAGAACAAGGGAGTGACCCTGAACACAACTAGCAGCTCGTTAGTCGTTACCTGGCCTGCAGGCAGGAGTTGGATGGGTCGAGGGGGTGGGAGTCGAACACGGTTCGGTTCGGCGGCGCTCGGACCGACTCGCGGTTCAGCTCCATCTGCTGCTCGGGGTCTCGGAGCTGCAGGGTGCAGGGGCCCTGGTAGGGCGGCGGCTCCTCGCCGTCCGACAGGGAGATCGTCGGGGGCAGGTCGATGAGGCTCTGGGGCAGGTAGGGGTACGTCGGCTGGAACCGACTCGGGGCGTACGTGTGCTGGAAGCGCTGGGAATGGAGCGAAGGCTGGGGCTGGCCGTGCTGCGGTTCCCGCTGCAGGTAGGATGTAGGGACCCCTCGATCCGGGGGACGGGGGTTGTACACCTGGTGCTGAGCGAGGAGCGACATTTAGTTACTCATGATGTACATCGTTTAACTGAACGCTGAACTTATACCAGAATGTACACAAAACACTGCTTGGATCAGGGGCGTCCAATCCTGGTCCTCGAGGGCCCCTATCCTGCATGTTTTAGATGTTTCCCTTCTTCCAACACACCTGATTCAAATGATCAGCTCATCATCAAGCTCTGCAGAAGCTGGATAACGATCCTGATCATGTGAATCAGGTGTGTTGGAAGAGGAAAACATCTAGAACATCCTGGATGGGGGCTCTCGAGGACCAGGATTGGGCACCCCTGGCTTAGATAGAGCAGGACTCACCTCATTTAGAACACTGCTCGTCCCCGTCGACTCAGAGGACCACAGACCTCCCTCCTGTGGAAGACAGACATTCATTTACTGTCATTTAACCCCATTCACCATTTATCACATGTTCAGCACTATTAGTAACTCTCATCTGTTCTTTGCATTTCCAGACAGAATAATACAAGTATACATACAGTATTGTTGGTAACGTCGTCAGCTGGTCAGAAACGGATCTTGTGTTTGCTTTGTTTTATCACGAAATGGCAGAAAGCATGTGCCGACAGAGACGAATCACGCAATCGCTAATTACCGAGACTTTATTAGCTAAATTGTGCTTTCACTTCTTTCGATCTGAGAGCAGCTCCAGATGTCTTCTGCTGCACTGCCAACAGCTTAAGTATGCATTTGACTGTTTAAAGTGTTTTACAATACAAAAAAAACTACATTGTGCATTTTATTGCCTCATTACATTTTTGTCCACTAGAGGGCTCAGCTGGTGTACAGCAACGGCTCACCTGTTCTGTCCAATGTCCCTCTATCTCGCACTATTATGTCATGAGTTCTGCTCCTGATAGAGGGTATTCAGACCTCGGTAACGCTGAAAACATGTCGTCTTGTTTAACTTTACCAACACTCTATCCATCCTAAACGAAGATAAAACCCTGAGCTTGATTTCAACACACCCAGTTGAGAAACTTTTTTTATTGAGGAAATGACAAAAGCACCCCAATAAAAAAAAAGTCTGACGGGAAATTTTGTGCAGTTTTTGTTGTTCTCTGGAAACCGTCCTCCGCCTGCGTGTCTGACAGTAATGTGTGTCAGTGTGTCTGTCTGCTAATCCAAATTAACTAGGACGCCATGACTCCCCTGAGCTTATCAGGAGCTCTCTGTGTGTGAGTGTGAGTGTGTGTTTATGCTTCATCCTTTACTCATATCTTACTTGTAGACTGCAGCTGCACACACACACACACACACACACACACACACACACACAGTGATTCAGTAGCAGGTGACTCAGGAAGTGCAGTCATATGTTTGAAGAAGCCTCAGGTGTAAGTCGGCGCATGTGTTTCTTGAAATAGACGTGGCGAGCCGCTGCGGCCCTTAATGAAGAAATGAGTCAGTGTGTTAGCATTAGCCCGCAGCGGCGTTTAATCACTCTGATCACATGCTGTCACTCAGCAAAGCTTTTCTTCTGAATCTGTCTTTGATGAGGGGCCGTCCTCGCGGTGACTAACCCGCTGAAACCATCTGCAGAGAGTCTGGTCATAAAAGTGAAAACCTGTAATTATGGCGGATGTAATCTTTATTACTTAGTTTCTTGTTCTGTGTAGTATTTCTGTCTATATGTAACTTTACATGCTGAGAGAGTTTATATTGAATGATTATTTGGACTTTATTCCTCAATATAGGTTTTACTTTATATGTGGTTAAAAACTGACTATATTTGGTTGCTGTGAACTGTCTGAATGCCAAGCAGCTCTTTCTTTTTTTTTTTTTATTTGGACTAATTTTCTGCTGCAATATGAAGTCCTGCATCTCTATGGAAACAATACACCCACAGCTAGAAGTAGAGAGAACTCAAAAGTGTCCTTTGTGCAGGAAGTTTTAATCCTATAAAGCCTAAACTGAAAACCTGATTTTTTATTTTTCAAAATCAACATGTGCAACGTTTTTTCAAATGTCCACAGGTGCTACCAATACTGAGATAAAACGGTGGCTCCACACGCTAGAGGTATTTCACTACTTGCATTTTCGACTTGTTTCCATACTCGTCTCGTATTTGCTCGGAGTAAACACAGCCTAGAGTTCAGCCAAGTTCAGCCCAAATGTCCCTGGATTTTGTTATGTCACTGCTGGTCACAGCTGAGTCACTACTGGCTTCACAGTTGGCCTGAAGAGCACTGAATTTTTACATTTTTTTTTACAGAAACTGGTGGAATAAATGCTTGATTTTGGACACATTTTTAAATGAAACATGTAAAATAAAGTTATGATGGATTACAAAGACTTTCAGCTCAGATTTGATATTTGCAGCGTCACAGATGAGTAGTTCAAGTGCCGCTGGAGAGCTGGAGTTTCATTAAAGATAACTTCAGGGTTTTCTGGTTCAAGAGATTAAATTGCACTTTCATACAATTGGTTTATGGTTTTATTTATTCCACATGTTGAAAAGTCCCTGCTTCAGTTTTCTCTGACACAAGTTTGTGTGTCATCAGAAGATCCATTTCTGATCAGATAACACCGAGTATGACTGAACGGACGTCCAGGTGTCGGCGTGAAGATCGACTTACGTTGGCCAATGGCAGGTGTCTCCTGCGCGTGGGGGCGTGTCTGGAGAGGAGGGAGCGTGCTGATAGGCGGTAGTGGTTCAGCAGACAGGTGATCACCACCACCATGACCATCATGACCACCACGATCACCAGGATCTGGACGAACTCCAGCTGGGCTGCAACGGCACACAAACAAGGATCGAGGTCAGTTTGTGAGTCAAGCAAAGTATTATTCAACCTGTGGAAAGAGTTTGAGAGACAGCGAGACGTGGAGTTCACAAACCATCAGGCAGGGAGAGGTTAATAAGAGTTTAAACCATTTGCGACTTCCGAACTAGAGAATAAAAGTCAGGATATCTCCACTTATGATGCATTAATTTGGGCCGTTCTGTTTAATCTTGCCCCACAGGCTCTATGTAAAAGTACCAATTTCCACTATTGTTGCTGACGTACATAATTAATATCCTCTTATTAGATTAAAAGGCAGCTGCAGTTATAATCCCAACTAACGAGTCTTATGCAGCACGGCTGAAAACACTGTCTGCTTTCACAAAACAGTGCTGTATATCTTGTGTTTCCTCGTGTAAAATAATCATTAAAAAAAATAGATACAAGAGAGAGAAAATAGAAAACGGTGCTACTTTATATAAAATATGACAAATTAAATCACACATATAGGTTCAAAGCACATGTGAATTAGCTGCAATTGCGAGTAAAGTCAAATTTTCCAACTTAAACGGATTCCTGGATGCAAAATTAAATATTGTGTTTGTGCATATTAGAGACACTCGTCTGTATTCATACCTTCATCCTGAGAAAAAAAACGATTTAAACAGTTTGTACTTTTTTACGCTTTACATGCCAAACAAACTTGAAGATTGATTCTGAGATGGCTGGAAAGACAGAAGTAAAAGCATAAGCAAAAAAAAAATCATATTAATCGCTTCAAATCTTAATTGAAACCTCCGTAATAATAATAAAAAACAATATAACATGAGAGAAGTAGGTTATATATGAGGGGAAAAGAGACATTTGGTTTGAATTTAAATGGTGTTGCCGTATATCAAGCTGTGGCTTGAAAATAAAATAAATGATTTTGCCAATAAAATATTTTAAAAAGTGATGTTTTCAGATTATTAGATCTCACATATAAAGTGACACAAAACTCTTCTAATTGCACTAAATGACATTTTTGCTTCGTACATGAATATCACCACTAATTATCTGTTGAAGGCTGTAAGTTAATTGGTTAATCGTGCTACAACTGTTTGGCAAAAATGTTTTTTAAAAATCTCATTTTACATTATTATTATTATTATGAACATCAGCACTATTGTGACTAATGACAGCAGTCTGAATACAACACCAAGGTTTATATCTTTTCTGTGCAGTGACAGAGGAAAAAAAAAAAGGTTTTCAGACATGTAGAGGTCAGCAGGGTGTCTAAAGCACACACACACACACACACACACACACACACACACACACACACTGAGCCAGACTAGACCAGACAGACAGACAGGGCTAGCTTTGTTTAGAGACAGTCTGCTCTAACTACCCCCCTGCCCTGCCTCCACTACCCCCATTACCGACACCACACACACCACACACCCACACACACACACACACACACACACACCAGACACACAAACAGAGCATTTTTTTCTCACACTTTTTTTTTTTTCCACGAGGAGCAGCCAGAGGTCAGGGCCAAGTCAGACACAAGAACATAAAGTAACCTGCAGACAACAACAACACACACACACACACACACACACACACACACACACACACACACACACACACACACACACACACAGAGTCTGCAGACTGGTTTTCAGACAGTTTGCACCAGTTCTCACAGTCTTGTTGTGCTCCTTTGACCGTCTAACTATTACACAACACCACCAGCAGACACACACAGACAGTCAGGTGACTATAGAACTCATTCAGGATATTTCCTGAGTGCAATCATTCATATGTTACTCGCATCAGACCTGGATTTAAATCACAACACGGACACATTAGATCCATTATCAAGTCTCTCCGATATCCTGCAGGAGAATCACCGATTCACATCATCAGCTCCACCAAACTAAGAGTCTTTCCGCAATTTCACGCAGAAACCAGTTGTCAGGCGTAACGTGAACCGTCTATAAAAGCTGGTCAGAAGCCAGGTTTAGCTGCTTTTCCTCGTCTGTTTGTTTGTTTGTTTGCAGTCTGGCATTCGTCTAGACTTTTTTTCCAGCGATACCCGTCGAGTGAGGTTTGTTTCACATTCCTGTTTTAACCAAACTTGATTTGTTCCTCGGAGGTCAACAACCGCCCGCCGCTCTTTCACACAGCGGAGGCCGACTTCACCCTTTAACCGCCAAACTCGGCTCTCGGAGCAACACTCTGTGGCAACGCCGGATTCCTGACGTGTGAAGAGGACTCTGACTTAATAGAGTGATTAACTGGATGTTGTGCAATCAAGGCCAAAAAAGTAGGCAAGAGTTTGATTGTCAAACTTTAAATTGAAAGGGTTCAGAGCTTAGTGTCTCAGTAACTGCCTGATTTATTCTCAAGAAGACCCTCCAATAGAGTGTTTGACTGAGTTACATCCAGGTTAAGTTGTGTAAGATCGTGGTTTAACATCCATATATTACCTATGACAGGATTTAAAACTAAAGACTTGATCAGCTGTTGTAAAACCTTTCTGTAAAGGGTTTCCTGGCGTTTATAAAGTTGCATAAATTCATGATTTCACTGCCTTCCTATGGAATAGATGGCAAGCAATCTAAGGTTTTATTGTGTTTGTACAATCAGGCGCTGCAAAGGTTGGTCAAGGTGATGCACTCAAATGATTAACTGCCCCAACTCCAGATAAAAACAGCTGAAACCAGAGAGTGTTCACCTTTTTTTTTTTTGCTTTAAAAATGACTCCCGGCTCTATTTCTGCCACTCAAATGACGGTTTAATTTCACCGTGCCAAGCAACATGCATTTAAAAGAAAAAACCTGAGGAATATCATGCTCCTACTCCTGCCTGCTGCAACAAGTCAGCAGCAGCATCAGAGGATTAAAATCCCAGCAGCCACGGGGTGTCTGATAAAATATAGACGTTCACCTCAGATGAGAAACTCACCGCACAGTTGTGTCTGAACACAGTTGTCATGGTTGTGGCTCCCTGACGACGGCTGCATAGTCTCTCTACAAGATCTCTGCTCAGAACAAGACTTTATCTCTCGAAGCGTTTATATTCCAGTGAGGAGAACCTGAGGGACTTCTTGCAAAAAAACTAAACCAAAAACAACCAAAAAAAGAAAAGCAAACTTCCTGCTGCAGCAGACCTCCAAACCTACATGTCCTGCGGATGCTGCGACGCCGTGTGTGTGTCCTCGCCGGTCGACACACACACTCTGAGCCTCGCCGAGCTTTGTCTGCAACTTTTTCTCACACACACATTCCCACAGTGTCCAGACGCATATTGAGGAAACAGCTGACCGGACCCTTCCTGCCTCCCCCTCACCCTCCCCGGCCGCCACCGCCGCCACCCAGTGGCTGTGAACAAAAGGGGGTCAATGCGAGGGGGAGGAGGGGGAGAAAGAGACAGAGAGAGAGAGAGAGAGGGGAGAGAGAGAAAGAGGGGGAGTGGTGGGAGCGTCTGGGAGAGACAGATGGGTCAGAGGGATGGTCAGAATAATGATGAGAGGGGGAGACGAGGTGGGGAGGAGGAGTCCAGGGCTCATTAGGACACACAGAGTCCTGGAGTTAATTAATGCTTTATAACATGATATAATGTCATATAAGGGCATGTAAAGAAAGCTAAGGTATGGTTTAGTTGTCTGCACTTATATCCAAAGCGCTTTACAGTGTGTTTCTCATTCACACTCATTCATACACCAATGGTGACAGAGCTGCCATACAAGGTGCTGCCTGCCACTGGGAGCAACTTCAGGTTCAGTGTCCTGCCCTAGGGCACTTGGACTGTGGAGGGGCCGGGGATCGAACCGCCAACCTTACGACTGATAGTGTAGTATATAGTAGTGTTATGTTATGTTATGGTCTGTTTCTCAGCCTTGCTCTGTAAAGGGCAACACAGATTTACGGGTGTACTTGAGGCACGCATTTAACTTTTTAACTTTTTTAGATTATTTTTCTGCCGTTTTTGCCTTTATTAGTCAGAACAGTGAGAGAGTGAGACAGGAAAGGGGGGAGAGACCTTACAGCAAACTGTCGTGAGCGGGAATCGAACTCACGAACGCCGCGCCGGGGAACTATAGCCCCTGTTCATGGGTCACCTGCTCAACCAGGTGAGCTATAGAGGCGCCCCAAGGCACGCATTAAACTTGTACATGTTTTGCATTTTACTTTCAAGTATTTAGTTTGAATTAAACTCATGTAGTTTTATAATATAATTCATAGAAAGCAAAAAAAACACATATATAAAAGGATTATATTTGGAGTAGATGTTGGTCGCTTGTCGAACCAACTGACCTCGACTGGTTGCAACATTAGCTTAAGAAGTAATAATAATGAAACTAGCTTAAGCTAGATGCAGATAAATCACTTAATTCCTTTCAAATTAAGAGTCTCCATTGCTGCAACTTAACTTTAAGGATACACGAAGTTTTGTAATGTTTCATATTTAAGTATTCGCTTGGTTGAGTTGCAGCCAAAAACATCAGATGCTATTAGAATACCAGTTTACTGTCCCGTCAGTCCACATTTACTACACATGAGGGGAAAAAAACTCCACTAGAGCTGTAGCTAAAGTAAAATACTTTAGTTTACTTTTGTGGACTACACCAGCTTGGAATTATCCTCTGACCTTAAGTCTGTTTTATATGATGCTCCGATAATA